AGCATATAATTTTAAAGACTTAGAACATCTTTATGGAGAAAATTGTTAAATTATATTGAAARATAAAAGAAAAATAAGTGAAGAAATATACTAGGTTCATGGATGGGAAATCTCAATGTCTAAAAGATGTCAATTCTTCCCAATATTATTGATGAATTCATTGCAACTGATTAAAAACACAAACAGATTTTTAAAAAATTGCCTTAAAAAAAAAAAAAGAAAAAAGAAACCAAAACTTGACAGCTGCCACTCAAAAGACCAAGTTCTGAAGCATTTCCCTGTTTTCTTCTAGTAGGTCCAGAGTGTYGGGTCTTACAATTAGACTTCAATCCCATTTTGAGTTAATTTTTATTATTTGGTGAGAAACAGCATTCTAGTTTCATTTTTATGCATGTGGCTATCTAAGYAATTATGTTTGAAAGACATAAATACACATTTTATTGTGCATAGTCTTATGCATACTTTGCTAATCATCCTTACCCACATTTATGCTCACAGTGCTTCTAATTTTTAAYGTCACCATTCTCATTTCTGCGATCTAAAGGAAACTTTTCCTCCCCACTCCCCATTTTGATAATTCCTCCTGCAAGTGTGGCTGTCAAGAGGAAGAAGGACAAAAGGCAGCCATAGCGGGAGGGGGCCTGGTTTAATAGATGCTCTCCTATTTGAAGGTAGGAGGTAGGTTTTGATGCTGTTGAGGAGGGTGCAGAAAGCGGGGGTGGGGGGGAGTTCGTTGCTCCGTTTGCAGCGTCTAGAATGGGCAGCACCTCACAGATGCTCAAGGGGGATAGAAGTTAAGGAGAAGAAAACCCCTGAGAAAGGAGATTTAAAAGGCGGGGGGCGGGGCATAGTTTTGAGAGGACAGATGGAGGGAACAGACTTTGATGGCTGCAAAAAACGGGGAACAGAATCTCACACATCTCAATTGTTAGCCCAAGGCAAAGAGGAGGGTTGGGCAGATCCATGGCCATTTTATGAACTCCACCAAGGTAGGAAGTGCCACCTTCTCAGAGTTGAAGAGGAGACTTCCTCTAAAGAAAGGGGAAAGCTTTGAGGTAGTTCTTGTAGGAAGAGTGGAATCCAGCAGCTGASAGAAAAGGGGTGAGTGGGCCAGAAAGGGGTAGAACCGAGGCTGCAACTGTGCCTGATGGATGCCGTTTCTGGGGCCACTGACTTATCTCAGCTCCCTCTAGTCTCTCCTGTATTCTTCTACCCCGACACCATTTCCTTCTTATTTTCTCTACCTTGTTCTCTCCTTCTAATGATACAACTAAAACAGAGGGGGTGGGGAGAGAAAGATAAAATTCGTTTGGAGCCATCATTGACCTGCATCTTTAAGAAGGAGTTGAAGGTTGGCAGTGGAAGACAGAGCTTTCAGGGAAGGCGTGGCCGCAGGGAGGCAGGGAGGCAGGGAGGTAGGGAGATCAAGCTGAGATTTTGTGGTCCTGAGCTTCCTTTGTGAAAGCAAAGGCCTGTGTTGAAGGAGCAATCTGCTGTGTGCCCTGCAMCTGCCGCAGTTCATCCCAGGTGTCTGTACTCAGGGGTGCTGTTCTTGGCTGGCTGGTGTGACTTTGCTGGATCTTGCCTGTCTCATTGTATCTGTCTCTGTCTCATTTCTGAGGGTTTAGCATGGTGTTGAGCACTCTACCATAACTATGAACTCCCAGCAGTGGTGGTCTTAATCACAAACTCTCCCTTCTCATGTAGCCTTCCTTAGATGACTCCGAAGCCCTGGTGAGAGTCTGCGATGGCAAAGTGAAGCCACATTGTTGAGGGCATTTAATGCCATCTGGTGAATGTGAATTGTTGTGTAGGAGTGAAATAGGTAGCACTGGAAAATATAACAGCATGGGGTGGCTTTTTCTTTCTCCATGTGGGAGATTCAACCTAGGGCCTCATGCATGCTAGGCAAGTGCTCTACCACTGAGCTACATCCCCAGGCGAGGGTAGCTTTTTAACTATAGAAGAACCAAAATTCCATAAAAATAGCATTAAATCTCATTATCCCACGTATTCACCCTATATAGATTTAAACAGTTGGAGTGCACGTCAATAATAAGAAACATTTTAAAGTAGTTTGCTTTGTCAAGGACCAACAGCTTCCCAATCTCTGCCCTAGAAGTCCTTAAAGTGTGGCCCAAGGATTCTGGAGGCCTTCAGATTATTACAATAGTCTTTTCCTCAACTCCAAATCTGTAGGAGACTGAATTTTCTTCATGTCCTACAATCAAAAGAACACAGTGTAATAGACTCGTTGATGAAGTTGATATGGGAATCCAGCTGTTTTTGATTAGCTGGACATTAAAGCAGAAATATAAAACAATGCCACTGTACTCACTGATTTTTTTTTAAAATATAGTCATTTTCTCACAAAATGTATTATTTATGAGAGCATGGGATAGGCTTATATTGTTATTTTAAAATCAATTCTTAACTACTTTTTTTTTTTTTTTTTGGTACCAGGAAGTAAACTCGGGTACTGGGCCATTAAGCCACATCCCCAGCCCCATTTTGTATTTTATTTAGAGACCCGGTCTCACTGAGTTGCTTAGCATCTTGCGGTTGCTGAGGTTGTCTTAGCATCCCAAGCTGCTGGGATTACAGGTGTGTGCCACCGTGGCTAATTCTTAAATACTTTTTTWAAAGACAGTGTTAATTTCTTTTCTTTTTTTTTTTTTTAACTTTCCTGTGTATCTCCTTTAATAGTG